ATCAGCTGGAACAGAAGGGGAATTAGAACTGAGAAACCAGCAAAAAGAAAATAACAAGGAGGAGACACTATTAAAATTAATAAGAATTTAGGAATTCAAACAGGGGGAAAACATTTTAAAAGATTTTAAAAAGAAATGGGAGGAACGGGAAGAGGTTTGGAGGGAAACAATAGGATTTAGAGCAGAAAGCTTTCAAATTAAATAGTGGGAAAAGACAGGGCAAGGAGAAAAAATTAAATTATGGATTCAGAATATAAACTTCGAAGTAAATGGAATAAAAGACTTAAGAGGAAAACAGGGGAGACAAGTCAAAAAAATGTAGTATTAAAGGATGGGATGTGGTTAAGGGGAGAAAAAGAGTTATGACGTATCTGTAACTCAATTGTTATATATTAATAATTGTATTAATATTACAATGATATAGGCTGGACAATTAGTTGATATTTAATATAAGTAAATATTAGGATAAACACTACCACAAATAGATATGAAACTGGAAAATTATGAATGAGAATTCATTATTAATTGGAAATGAGAGGTTGAATGATGGTATTATTAAAAGTGTGTAAAATATGACTATTTTGTAGGTAATGTGAAAGGAGATATATTTATGTATATTAACAAACTTTAAAATATACAGAGAAGAAGAGTTAAATAATGGGAATATGAATAACAAAACAGAGTATCATGTCCTTGAATATAATAATGTGGAGGGGAAAGTATTAGTGGACGTTTACAATGGAACAAAGTCAAGTAAGTTAGGAAAAGAAACATTAAAAATAGACACAAAGAATGAAAATGGTGATAAGCTTGAAATGTTTGGATGTAAGAAACTGTTATTCAGACAGTCTGCTGTTTGATCAATGAAGTGATGTTAGTATTAAAAGAATAATATTGTAGTTGCGCATATATATATATATATATATATATATATATATATATATATATATATATGTATATATATATGATTAGAATGATGATGTGTGTAAAATTATTAACATGAAGATTAATCAATATTATGATATAATTGTGATTATTACTATTATTATCAATAATACATGTTTAAGTGAATAAGTCTGTTTCTTTTATTTTTGAATGTAACTTTAAGAAGTTGTATAGTTATAGTTGAAAGAAATATTAATTGGAAAATAAACCATATCCTGTAGGTATTGGGAATATTATATACAACAACAAAAAGAGAGAGGGAAATGGAGTGGAGTGGAAGGGAGTAGGAGTGGAGGGAAGGAAGAGTAAGGGTAAAGAGGGGAAAGGAGAGAGGGAAGTGGAGGGGAGGAGAAGAGTAGAAAGGGAAGGAGAGAGAAGCGAAGAAGAGAGGGAGGAGAAGAGAAGGAGCGAGGGAAGCAGAGGGAAAAAGAGGGGAGAAGGGAAGAGAAAGAAGAGGAAAGGAGATGGATTGTTGTTGTAAAATTGAGTGAAATATGGTGTAAAGGAGAAAAGAAAATAGACAGGCAATTATAACGAAAGATAATACGGTGGACGTTAAAGTATATCAGTTTAGATGTTATTGCATACTTGTTAATATTTATATGAAAATAAAAATTGTGTGTAAAAGATGGGGTAAATAATATGGAATAAGGAAAATTGAATGTAATATTTATGAATATGTTTATCTGTATTGAAATGTATAATACTCAAAAACCACACTATCCACATAATGATATGTATAAATTTTTTTAAAAAATAAAAACTTGATGGAAAAAAAAAACTTGGGATGAACTCTTTCCAAATAAAGGAATGATGGAGGGGCCCAACTGAGCTCCAAAAAGAAGCTGGGCTCAGATCTTAGCTGAGAAGACTTTACTCACTGAAGGCAAATGCTGAGCTCTTTTGGAAAAATAAAAAGTTTGCAAAGGCAAAATTGTTTTTTATGCATTTAAAGAACATAGTTGGTATAGTTCCCAATAGCTTGGAAAAGAATCCCCAGATATTTAAATGCTTTGACTTATTCCATTAAATGGTTAGTTGCAAGAGAAGTGTCTTAGGGTGCTTAGCAAAAACTGTGATCTTAGTTTTAGAGTACCATATTTTTCGGAGTATAAGACGCACTGGAGTATAAAACACAGCTTAGTTTTTGGGGAGGAAAATGGGGGGAAAAGAAGTCTGCCTACCAGGTATTCATCTGGCTAGCGTCCTTAGTCTGGTCAGCTTCAGCACATTAGTTTGCTGGTTTTGAGCACGCGCGCACACTTTTTATCCTCTGCTTGGGGATAAAAAACAGCTTCTAAAGCACAGCTGATCTTTGGAGAGAGAAACAATGAGAAAAACAGGCGAAGCTCAGAAGATTGCTTCACTCGCTAGCGCTTCGTTAGGGCTGAAAAACAGCTTCTAAAGCACAGCTGAGAGGGAGCAGCAATTAGAAAAGCAGGCAAAGCACGGAGATTGCTTCACTTGTTAACGCCTCATTAGGGCTGAAAAAAGCTTCTAAAGCACAGCTGAGAGTTGGAGGGAACAGGCAAAGTCCAGATCGCTTCACTCACTAGCGCCTTGTTAGGGCTGAAAGAAAGCTTCAAAAAAGCTACATTCGGATTATAAAATGCACTCAAATTTTCAGCCTCTTTTAGTGGGGGGAAAGTGCAGCTTATACTTCGAAAAATACAGTAATTAACTTATAGATTTTGGGGGGGCAGTGTTCAGGTAGTATATGAAGTAGGACAATCTATGTTTGAGAAACCTGCACAGCATCATCTGCATACAAAAGAATAGAGATGTATCTATTTCCCCATTTTGGTGGATGAAGAGATTGATTATTCAGTTTATCAATAAGAGAACTAAAGAAAAGGGAAGCTAGAATACATCCTTGCCTCATTCTCCTTTTTAACAGAAATTTAGGATATGCCAGAATAAGGACAGATTCTTTGATAACTAGAGACAATATTAATAAGTTAATTGAGGCTTTCCAACAGATAATATAGATATGGAAACTTGCTTTGTGATACAGCTTTTAGAAACTGACTAAATCTTTTTTGGTAGCCATACAATTAAATTCATGATTAGATCTAAATCTTGAATTTAGTGTTTTTCCATATCCCAATAGTGAAATTGAAGGCTTTATATAAGAGTTATATAATAGGTGCATGGGGCCCGGTCAAGTTTCTTGCTAGTTCAGCATGAGTGTCCCAACACTCAGAATTTTTTAGAATGTTGGAATATTTAGGGTTCTTGCCTTAGTATCTGCCAATGAAGAATATATATCTACAAAAATCACAGCTTTAAGGAGAAAATTTTATCTTTAGTAATGGAAAGTGATTATTGTTACTACTTTGATTCAGTTTATAGAGTTTTTGTTTTTTTTTTATTTGATTTATATGCCGCCCTTCTCCGGAGACTCAGGGCGGCTTACAATGTGTTAAGCAATAGCCTAAGATAATTAAATTATGCAATTTTGCCAAAAATCTAGTATTGGGTTAAGTCTCCCAGGCCAATATGAAAGTTCTCACAGTGATCTTCTGGAGTGGCTCAATTTATTTTGCATAGATCAAAATGATTCTCTAAGTAAAATGAAGTTCCAGCAAATCACAAGTTCCAAGTTCGGTGAGGGGTCCTTGGTGCTCTCTGAGCTTTGTTGTTTTCTTGCAGATGTTTCATTACCCAAACTAGGTAATCTCATCAGTGATAGAAGGGAGTGGGGTTTGCTGTCATTTTATATTTTAATGGCTTGCCCTGACTCTCTCTCCCCCCTTCGTCCCCTCCCTCCTTCTCCCTCCCTCTAACATGTGAAATTAAAAATATTGTGCAAAAGTTTCATACTCAGCTAAGTCTTGGTATTGTGGAAAACATGATTGTTTTACGCATACTGTTTCCCACTTTGAATGTTTTATTTAAAAAAAGAATATTCTACAAACAGTTTAATCAAACACATATATATGCATAGTAATATATGCACAATAAGTGAAGGACTATTCCATAAGCAAACTATCTTGCTCAGTGCCATTTTTTCTAGAAAGAAGTGTTCGCAAACACATTATGGCTGCTGATTTAAATGTACTTCAGGAGACTATCTGCTGTCTTTTCTATGAGCATTCATTTGAATGTCTAAAAATAATGCAGCACTGAACAAACCTTCCTGGAAGACAAAAAGGAGAGCATGTATTTCTATTAAGATCACAAAGGCTACTTCACATGAAACAAAAGACCTGAGCTATTCCATTTCCTGATAAAACTATAATATAAATATCTTTTGAGCCTGCTTTCTGTTGTTTTGCCCACCTAGTCCAGAATTACCTTTCAGAATAAGTGGGACAAAGATATACATCTAAATTCATATTTGTCCCCTTGTATGCAATTCTTATGCTAAGACTGTAAATTGCATGTTTTAATTATTATAAGTGGTCCTGGATATATAGCAGAAAAAATAACAAATAATAAATATTTACATTTATGCTATCTAAAAGCAATTGTTATAAACAGATGTATGTAGGAATCTTTTTGTCTCAGAATCTATATAAATATTTCCCAAATTTAAAATTACATGGGTACAAACACTAATAAAAAATCTGCTTTTGGGTAATTATATTTTAATAAAATTTTCAGTATATTGTAGGCAAACCTGCGAAACGTATGGCTCTTGGTTTCATGCCACCTGCATACTGCCCTGCCAACTTTTATTGAAATTCAATAAATCCACCACTGCCAAATGTCACTGCTACAACCCTGAAACTCATACTGTTGAGCACCTGTATTATCTCCAGGCCTTACTGACACCATCAGCTGCAGTGCTACTGCTGTACCACTATGTGCTGAACAACAGATAGCACAACCATTATTCCTTTTAATTTATCAGTGTAATTATTTCCGATCCATGAATTGGGCCAACCTGGAATATAACCCAACAGCACTTTTTCATTTAAAAAACATATCCTTTAGCCTTTTATAATAATGTGCAGAATATTTCAGTACTACAAGTGCAAGATTATATTTTTATATATGAAAATATATAAAATCTAGGATATAGTTAAAATCCTTTTTCTTGTTCCACACAGGTGAAACTGAACAGGAGCTGGGACCTCCTCCCTCTGTAGATGAGGCAGCAAACACACTCATGACTCGCCTGGGCTTTCTCCTGGGAGAAAAAGTCACTGAGATACAGGCAGGGAATCAGTATAACATGGAAGGACAGGAAGACAATCAGGTGAGCTTAAAACTTTGTGTACAATTATAATGATTTTACTGTATTATATTTCTGGAAAACAAAATACTACATGCTATGATTCAAATCTCATCTAGTATTAGAGGTATGAAAATCATACATACATATTGGTGATTAACTAGAACTTGTCAGGCAGAAGCAACCGGAACAAGTCCATGAACTTTCAAGAATTGCCAGACTGACTCCATTCCCATGTGAACCATTAGATAAGGGCTTCAGTAGTCTGGCAATGGCTCACGTGGTTAGGACTCTAGGCTGATGATCAGCAGATTCGCGTTTGACACCCAATTACTTGCCGTGGGATGAGGTGAGTTCCCATCACATGCTCCAGCTCCTTCTGATCCAGCAGTTTGAAAGCTGGTGGACTGCGAATAGATAGATAGTTACCATTTTGGTGGGCAATTTAATAGAGATATGAAAGGAGCCCCCAACTGGCATCCTCCAGGCAATGCTGATATTACAATTTAATTCTTTCAACCTGGAAGTGCTTTGGTGCTCCGATATGAAAGTAGTAGTAGTAGTAGTCGTCTGGCCTATATCTTTTCATCCCCCACTCCTCTTTACTGTGGAATTATCTTTAGCTGGTGATTCCACCATAGAATGTGAGAGATATTCTTACCTCCATTAAAATTAAACATTAAATCAAACTAAGAAATATTCTGGATATATAACTCTGAATAGAAGCTAAATAGGCTGTCTTGTATAAGATCCAAGTAGGAATAACTTTTCAGAGTTTGCCTTTTGCTCAGATCTTAGTTTAGCAAAGAATTCCATTTTGATAGATTAGACAGAAACTAATGTAAATTATTTTTAGTAATTCTTGTTAAAGATGGGATACAGATTAAATAGAAACACAGTAAAATCTTTAATATGATCAAACAATGGTCTTAAACAATTAATTGTTGTAGATTACAACAATTAGATTTATTTGGCCATTGAAAGCTTCCCTTGTTGCTAATTATTTTTCTAGGAAGGGCAGCCTCTAGGAAGGACAGCCCTCTAGCAATTTAGTACAGGTAATGCTTGTTTACTGACTACTTGCTCAGAGACCATCAAAATTGTGGCAAAGATAAATGAGTGAAATCTTAGACTGGTCCTTGAAATTCCAGTTGTTGAAGTGCCTCCACAGTTATGTGATTAGGATTTGGGTGCTTGTCATCCAGGTTGCACTAATGACAGTTACATTTTGGCCACATGATCACCATATGCAACCTTGCCTGCTAGCTTCCCACAAGCAAAGTCTATGGAAAAGATGACAGGGAACATCACAAGTTGCTGTGGAAAGTCTCCCTCACCTATCTGGGTATGCATCTCCTTCCCTTGGCCTCCCTGTGCTCATGCCACACCACAGAACCTCTTCCTTTCTAACTCACGTGTGGCCTGTCCAGGCTTCCCTGTAGTACCCCTTCATTTCTTCTATGGTACTTCAGAAGCTTCTAATTTAATAACCTGTATATCTTGAGGTTTTAACAGAAACTGGAACTGCCTGAACTTTCATCATTAAGCAATATGGTCATGTGAGATCATGCTTTATGACCACATTGCTGAATGACAGGAGTCTTGATCCCAATTCCCAGCATAACCCAAGGATTACCTATCGTAAGAATATTGTTCTGGATGAGTTTGAGCATGTTGCATCTATTGACAAAGAAACAGTTCTTTTCAGAAAAAACTGAGCAAGTTGATGTCGTTCTTAGAATGCTAGGTCATTGGAAAGATGTATGGACCTATTCTCCATGTCTGGTCTTTATAAAAGTTTCTTTGTTCATCTTTGGAGAATGTGGCCAGGGCAGATTCCTTAAATTACTCCATCTCATGTTATTAGTCTGATCACAAACTACCCCTTTCCAGATTTCAGGGAAAGAAGCTCCACAATTTATTTATTTATTTATTTATTTTATTAAATTTCTATACCGCCCTTCTCCCGAAGGACTCAGGGCAGTGAACAGCCACAAGATAAAACACATAAGTACAAAAATTTAAAAGGATTTATTCATCTTCAAGGTTTTCAGAACAATTTCAATTTTTGAATAGGAATCTTTTAGAAATTTTAGTCTAGGGGGCAGGAAAGTTGTCAACAGACATACAGCCATACAGATATACATATACAGTACATCCTAAACCAACAAGAACAATGACTTTATTTTATATGGAGGCCAGTTTCTTCCTTCAAATTTTCCTTCAAGGATGCCAAGAAAAAGTCAAATAGAGTTGCTTTTAATTTTAAGGGAAGTTGCACATTGAGCAAGTTTTTGCTGACTGAATTCAGAAACATAGTGTCACTATCATGAGGTTTTTATTCTTTTGCTATCTTGAATATTTACCTTATGTCTTAGGCTTGATGAAATTCAGACAAGTTAAATGATTTTTTTTCAGATTTTCCTTCACAAATAGTTCAGAAGCTTTTTGGTGGAGGAGGGAAAACTTGTTAAACAGCAAAACAAAAAAGATTAAACCCCATTTTTCTATATTTGTTTTTTGTTTAACTTGGAAAAGGTGCAAAACTGTTTTATAATCTAGGCATAGCTGAGAAATTCACTTATGAGAGAATAGGAAAGGAATTGTATTGATTTTTAAAAATTTATTATAGTATAGCAATACACAGTTTGTAACACACTCTTTCAATCCTAATGGAGTTTTGTTTGATTTGAGTGGAAGGGGGTTTATTTTTTTCTAATTTTGGTTTTAGTCTTTTTTATTCTTATTTTGGGAGCTTCTTACATTAAAATATCATGATCCATTTTTTCCCTTTGAATATACTGTATATTTGTATATGTATGTATCTATGCATTATATATTTGAGTTCTCATGGATTTGTGGAATATAGAAGACTGTAGTTATCTCTTAGAGACAGGAAATATGAATATGGAAAGGATTTTTTAAATCTAAAGAATGGTTATCTCACAATCTTAATTCATAAATGGTCGAAACATTTGACAGAAATACAATTCTATAAAATAGAATATCTTTATCAATAGTTATTATTCTCTTTTCTGCAAGGTAACAAATATTTCATTTCTATATTACTAGTGATACTTTTTACTAGTTTGCATGTGGTAAGAACATGTAGTAAGGTTGTTGATAGGATTACGCCATCAATATAGAATTATCCTGGTTTTGAATCTATTATATTGATTACCAGTAGACTTCTGAGCCCCTTTTTGATCATTTCTTTAAAAAGGCCCACATGGTACACTATCATCTAACATATTTCTCTAGAAATATGAGCAGTTCCCACCCTCTTTCTTTTAAGAAGCAGGTATGGTTTCAGTAAACTTTTGGCCCATTTGAGTGAACATCATTGTGTGTGTTGTGTCCCAATGCTACTGGTTTCATCTTGTACTCAGTTTGCTTTTTGTTATTTTTGAAATAATGCATTTTTCACATGTTCTATAGCTAAAGAGCAGAAAAATGATACAGTTTATAAGGAAATAAGAGAGTAAATCTGTATATCAATTTTCCAATAGGTTAATATGTTTATGATTATATCAAGTGAATTCTTCAGTATGTTGTAGTGAAACCCTATAAGCTTTTCTGATAGCTTTACTGTGATGTCAATGTTCCTGCTTCCAATTTTCCAGACTTCAGCAGTGTCCCAGCGGATAAGTCCCTGTTCCACACTGACCAGCAGTACTGCTTCACCACCTGCCAGTAGCCCTTGTTCCACCCTCCCTCAAACTAGTGCTAAGGATGTTATAGCAAAGGACTGCAATTATGGAGCTGTCACAAGTCCTACATCTACTCTTGAAAGCAGGGATAGTGGCATCATAGGTGAGTCTTAGATATGCACAAATTTGTTTTAAAATTCAGCTGTACAGTATTGGGTGTTTATGTTTGCAGCATCCTGAAGGGTATTGGGAAAAGCAAAAAAGTATGAGAAGTCCTTGATACTCTCTGAGCTTGGTACTTTTTTTGCAGATATTTCATCACCCAAACTAGGTAACACCATCAGTGCTGACATTACCTATTTTGGGTAATGAAACAACTGCAATATCAACCAACCAACCAATCAATCAATTTGACTTGTCTGAAATCTTTCTGCTTTGAATAACATTTTGGGAGATAAAAGTTTTTAGAAGTTTTTTTAAGGGCTAAAGCTGAGATTTTCTGTAAATTAATTATGCAACTGAGACTTAATGCTTTGGTGCTTTGGAGAAAGAAATAATCTGTTTGGGGGTTAAGAATTGGTCACACATGAAACAATTCCCAAGATAGAGAAAGGAACTGTTCTTGTCACTAATCAACATTTTGTAAGGGCAAAAGTTACCAGAGCCTTTTCCACATCCAAATTATATTGCTGATAGAAGGATGTTCAGGAGGCAAATCAGATATAAATGGAGATAAATTCCAGTTTCTGGAGTTGTGTACCAAACAAGAGACAAATCAAATGGAAGTTCAACATAAGAATTGTTTCCACTCATAACTGAGATGAAGGAACCAGTTATGTGAAAGAATTCACAAAGTAGAATGTTGAATGCCTTTCAGAGGTTCTGCCAATACTGTCCTTTTCAAAGACACTCAGAAAGTTTAAATGGGTCAATATTGTTATGATCCAGTCTTGTGATGAGAGAGACAGGAAGAACATGGAATGAGTAAAGTCAAATGGTAGCAATCCTGTCATTGTTTGTATTCACTGCTATCATTGTTTTGACCAACACTTGTGTCTAAAATAAAATACAGTAATACTTTGCATACACAAGCATCACCTTTGATGATATCTACAGCTTTTCACCTGCTTTTCTTCTGAGGGTTATGAACATTAATTCAGCCACCTGAAGTCCAGTTTCTCCACTGGACTTTACAACCACTAGCAGTAGCTTATTTTCTGGGCCAACCCATCAATGACATGAAAAATAGGGGATTAACTTTTTTCTTTCTTTCTGGATGGGCTGTGTGGTCTGCTGCTGACCATAGTATTATTCGTTGTTGTATCTGTATGTGCTGTAAGTATGTACAACGTCAACATTCGAGAGTCAGAGTTGCCACAAACCCCGGAGGGGGGAGAGGTCACACAATTGAGTGTCAGGTGCTGGGTGCTGTAATGAACTCATGCTGGTGGAGGGTCAGGAAGGGAGAGACATGAAAGGCCATGAATCCAGGCTTGCTGGAGCCTGCAGAGACCCGGTAAAGAATGCTTGCTGGAGCAGGCTGGTAGCAGGCATGGGCAGGGCATGCCATGTCCTCATAGCCAACTGGCTGGCAGAAGTTGGTAATGGTGAACCCCTCAGCGTGGTCTCTTTCTTTGCTGGCCAAATTCGGAACTGTGACACAACTTTGGAATCAGCTATTGCGTTTGACTCTGCTAAGTCAATAGTTCATGTATACTAATAAGATACTATGACAGTGGAATTGAGGAAGTATGGGAAGCCATTTCAGGGAGGAGGGATGAATCTCATGGCAATTCTGATGGTGTAGAAAACAGAAAACCTAATGAAGTTTAATCCAGAGTAAGTTTCATTCAGTGGCTACACAGAAACTAAAAAAGAACTCACTTACATACTGTACCTTTTTCCCTTCTCATCATGTACAACTTTCATTGAGGTACTACAGTATTTCTGAAAGCTGAAATCACTTTATGTTTTTAAAGTTCTATTCATAGGAATATAACCTCAGAAGAAAAAAAATTGTTGTTTCAGTTATATATGTTCTTATTATTGATCTCCTGATTTGTTTGAGATAAATAAAATGGATTCTTCAAATCAAAGCTCATTATGGTTATTATTTACATGGTTCAGAAATCTTTAATATTATCTTCTTCCATTGGCTTACAGGTAATTCTTTGCTTACAACCATTCATTTGGTGACCAACCAGTCCTTGCACTTATAACTGTTGCACATAGTCACATGATCAAGATTTGGGCAACAGGCATCCCAAAGTCATGTGATTACCATTTGCAACTTTCTCAGCAGGCTTTCAAAAAGTAAAATCAGTGGGGAAATCCAAATTTACATAACAACTTCATGATTTGCCTAACAACCATAGCAAAAAAAAAAGTCATAAAATCAGACATGACTCACTTAAAAATCACCTTGCTTAGCAATGGAAATTTTGATCCCAGTTGTAGTTATAAGTCAAAGAATAAGTGTATTCCTATTCAATAAGATATAGTAGAGAAATTCATCCCTCAAGTTCCATCCCTGAAGGCTTGTCATCAGGGACCATGATGGTATACCTTTTCTGTAGCTGTCCCTCTCCTTTGAAATTGTGTTCCATCTGAAATCAGTTTAGCATCAACCAAGCATCAAGACCAGGCTATAACAATTCAGATTGTACAATTGAACGTATTACTTTGCTTGCATTCTCACATTTGACAGTTTTTCCTTACCAGTAGATATTGCTGTGGATGGGAGAAAAAAGATGGCAAGATTTCTGACAAACACCTGCCCCAAAGTACCTGACATTACAAAGGGTTCCTGCTGAGGTGGTGTATCTGGAGATCTGTTAGGGGCAACTAGATGGAGGAAGTGTTAAAATGTCATTCTTCACAATGCTGAATGACTGGTTATCCATGTCATTGCTTGTGATAGCTTTTCAAGCAAAGTCCTCTTTGCTTCTTGATGATTGATTCAACTACTGTGCAGTTGATGATTGATTCAACTACTGTGCTCTGCTTCCTTGCAGTCTAGTTGGCAGTATAGGCTGTCGAGTGCTGCTAGAGATAGGAAAGATACTGTGATGTTGCTAAATATAGTGGTTCTTAAAAATTTGTGAATTTTACTTGTGAATTTTAAACATTTTTCATAAATATTATCTAAAATGGGCTCTGTTCTCCATACAAGCCCTAAAGAGAATATAATTGAACAAATGAATTAAAAACATTATATTTATTTATTTATTGAGAAAAATTATTCAAAGTTACATGCAATGTAAGCTCAGTTAAGAAAATAAGGCACTGCTTGATAGAAAAGAATGATTTAATCTCCAAAATGTGCTGCAAAATGTTTGAGAGAATGAATACAGTTCCTGCCTGCATTACCTTAAATAGATGAATAGCAGCAAAATCTCAAGAAACAGCATAGTTGGGGCGGTCCATTTCCAATTCAATGATGAACCATCACTGGACTGTCTTATTCTAGGGGATATTTTGTTGGTTTCTAGAAATAAATTTTCTAAACCAGAAACACTTTCCAAAGTGTTTGGACACAAGTCCAAAATGTTGAATTGTTTTTGAATTTAGCTGCTACAGTTCATTCCACAGGACTTTTTGGAACTCAAATCTGAATTGTTATAATCCTGCCAATTAATAAGCTTGAAAAATATTTTCTGTATAACTAGTGTATCAAAAGTGAGAAAAAATATTGGAAAAGCTCAAGTTAAACATGAGGAAAATGTGTATTTTGAAGCTTAATATTTGGAAAACTTGAAAACTTGAAAAAAAGTTTTCAACTGTCTGATGTCAGTTTGAAAAATCTTTCTTTTGAGGTAAAGCTTGGTTAAAAAAAGGTAAATTTTGTTTTTGCAGGTTAAGATGAGAAATATCTTATATTGAAGTCATGAAAAATATTAAATAAGGGTGGTTGAAGCCTTACATTACAGATAGTAATGGCTTGTGAATATATTTTCTGTCAGTGTCAAAATATCAATATTGCAGATGACAAATTCAATATCATGATAGTACATGAATAAATATGAGAGCCACAAAAGTCCTATATGTAGCAATTGTTCCATATAGCTATTGATAAGTATGCTCTCCCAATATAATTGAAATCATTGCACGGAATCATGCAGTTTTTGTCTTTTCTCAAATGACACAAATTTCCTTTTGTCTCCTATTAGGCCTCACCTCTTATTAGTCACCATTCATCTGAAGTATTTCCTATATATCAGGCTTCTGATTCCACTGCAGAGGCAATCATGATTGATTTTTCATTATATAATGCAATGACAAATCACAATATTCATAAAAAGCCTCTAGATAGACTGTTACAGTACTAGAAGGGAGGATATAAAGAAAAAAAATGATCAAGAATAATCTAGATCTTTATAAAGAGTTAATTTATTAAAATGTAAATAGTTAAATAAAATTTTTAACAATTGCTATATTTGTTTATCTGTAAGCAAGTACAAGTACCACCATACCTGTAGATTTGAATAGCTCAAAGATCCTAATAACTACTATCTAATTAACTAGTAAGATTCCTTCTACTTATATGAGGAAAAGAAGTGGGGAGAAAGAGAATATGATATATGTACAAGATGGGAATGCAGGGGGGTCTTTATCTTATATGTCTTGAAAAACCAGTTTTAGCAAGAACCAAGACATTTCTGATTTCTCTTATATTATTTGTTGCATTTGGATGGTGCAATTGCTACATATAGGGCTTTTTGGCAGGGGTGAAATGCTCCCAGTTCGGACCGGATCACCCGATCTGGTAGCGATGGCAGCAGGTGGTTCGGAGAACCGGTAGCAAAAATCCCTGCCCCCCCCCCATGCCCAGCTGAGCCGCGCGATCATTAGAGGCTTTTTTTTTACTTTTAAAAGCATTTTTTCTACAACCTCTTCGGCTGAAAAAATGCTTTTAAAAGTAAAAAAAAAAAAGCCTCTGATGATCAGGCGGGATCGTCACAGGCTTTTAAAGGCATTTTTTTCCTACAACCTCTTAACGTTGTAGAAAAAAAATGCTTTTAAAAGTTAAAAAAAAAAAGTTGGCTACGCCCACCCAGTCACATTACCCCCCACCACCAAGCCACACCCACAGAACCGGTAGTAACAAATTTTACATTTCATCACTGCTTTTTGGGCTTTCATATTTATTCATATACTGTCATGATTTTGCATTTGGTATCTGCGATATAAATACCCAGTTTCAACTCTTCCATAATATTGATGTTTGATTTTACTTGGTAGAATAAATGCTATATACTGTATATATTTTTGAATTTGTTATATTCATGTTTTGGTAATGGAGATCACAATTAGGTTGGGCAAGAGATTACATGAGATTGAACATTTAATTTTTATTGGAATATAAAGGGTATTCAAGAAAGAATATAGGAATATATAGTTAGTTACTGCATCTTCTACGTTTCTTCTTGGTTGGTTTTTTCACCCACCAGATTCCTAGGTTAATATGGAAATCATTACTATAGAATAGAGACAAGAAGGAGCAATAAATACATTCATACTGTCACAGACCATCTTAAAAAAAGAAAAATCCATAATATTAAAACTTGACAATCATAATCTATCCTCTGCAAAGTCACAAAAACGAAATGTATTTTTTTGTTACTCATTGTCTTTTATTATTTGTTGCAGCAACTTTGACAAGTTATTCTGAAAATGTGGATCGTGCTAAATATGGAGGAGAAAGTAGTAAGGAATTAGGATCTGGAGGAAACCTGAAGCCTTGGCAATCTCAAAAATCCAATATAGACTCCTGTTTATATAGAGTAGATGAAAACATGACAGCTTCTACATACAGTTTGAATAAAATCCCTGACCGGAATCTAGAGACTGTTTTATCTCAGTCAGTACAATCCATTCCACTTTATCTCATGCCACGGCCCAATTCTGTAGCAGGTAAGAATCTTATCCAGCAGGTTATAATTAATTTTCTTTGTAAAATGGTTGGACAGATTATTCAAGTGTTAATATAGGTTTATACTTACATTTTATAAGTTATTCTATCTTATTCTATCATTTTGATTGCTCGATTCTAGATTTTCGTTTGTACTGAAGTTTTGTTTGTCCCTTTTTGAGGTAGATGGGTGGTATAGAAATATGATCAATTAATTAGATAATTAATAAAAGCAAAGCAAAGCAAAAGCTCCGTTGCTGATAATATCAGAACTATTTGGATTAAACACAACGCTTAGCAATCCTGTATTGATATCACAATCCATGAAAGCTTCAAGTGACAGCCATATAAGCCTATAAAGTTTATATTTGTGATAAGAGAAACACTCGTAATTACCTGTTTTAGACTTTAAACTTGGTGATCTTATGAAAAAATTGAAACCAATTATTTCTCTGATAGTTATTCTACTGTCCCAAATCACTTTATTTTTTAAATAATAATTTTATTAATGTTTATAAAGATAAAATATTAATGCAAGCTAACAAAAATTGTAAAAAGGAAAGGAAAAAGGGATAAAGAGAATGAAAAGAAGACAAATATATTTTAAAATCTCCCATCTCCTTCCAGACAAGTATAAAGTATAAAGAATTTCAATAATTTAACCCCTTTTCTTCAGTTATTATTTGGCTAGATTTTAATCCTCTGTTTTTAAATATTTGTCTTTCTGTTTAAGAAAAAATAATCCAGAAATGTAATATCTTTATAGCACTTATAGCAATAGCACTTAGACTTATATACCATTTCATAGTGCTTTTACAGCCCTCTCTAAGCGGGTTTACAGAGTCAGCATATTGCCCCCAACAATCTGGCTGCTCATTTTACCCACCTCGGAAGGATGGAAGGCTGAGTCAACCTTGAGCCTGGTGAGATTTGAACTGCCGAACTGCAGCTAGCAGTCAGCTGAAGTAGCCTGCAGTACTGCATTCTAATCACTGTGCCACCTTTATATTACATTATATATAAGGGAGAATCATTTAAGTTCCACTTAAAGAACCAAAATGAATGAGTATAAATGTTTTAAGGAAAATAAAGTGAGCCTGTAATTTACAAAATTTTACAAATAGGAGTTGCATAATTAGAACTATAATCAAAATAAAGACAATATTTAGTATCAGATTTAAGGGTCTTAATTTATACTTTCTATAATATATTTATGAATATATCTGATTATTTTTTATGGACAGCCACCAGCTCAGCCCACTTGGAAGATCTAGCTTACTTAGATGAACAGAGGCATGCTCCTCTACGAACATCTCTCAGGATGCCTCGTCAAAGTATGGCTGGTACTCGCACACAACAGGATCTAAGAGGTAGAGATCATGTAATTCAGTCTTTTATCAGTTCCTTTACCAATACAGATTTTTTAAAAAAATATTTTGGAAATATGCTCTTTCACTCTGAGTTGTGACAGCAATCTCCTCACCAAACCTAATGTCAGCGTTCCAGAAAAACCCCAACTCCAAGTAAAGACGCGGAAGCAAACATTCTCCAAAGTTCTCTTTACTAGAATAGGCAAACTGGCACATCTGGGAAAACCCGAATCTGAAAAGCCCTTCAGTAAGTCAAAGCTCTCAAAACCATCCCCGTTTCCCCCCAGTTGGTCACATGCTCCAATCAATGTCCGCTCCATCTTGATCCAGTCCCCTGACCACTCCTTTCCCAGATGCTGGCTCGCCCCGACCTTGACCGACAGGAAGAATGCTATTATGTCTACTAACAACCCCTCTTCTTAATCCCCCCCGTCCTACTTTGCCACACATGAAAAGGTGGCAGCATTGGAGTTTCCGGCCTAATATGGCTTCCAAGGCTGACACCTATCTTAATAAATACTGAAAACTGAATTTAGCACCCTTAATATAAAATATAATTACTATTGTTGAGCCACTCTCCACAGGGCATTTGGGGAAGAAATGGAATGTTGAATTACTTCTGAGATGTGTGTGCTATATGAGAAAAACAAGTTATAGCATTTGTTGTTCTTTATGGTGTATGATTTTAAATCCCATTACTATTAGCAAATGGAAAGTGGTTCAGAATTTTCAGATTAGAGTAGCTCAGAAATGTTAGTAAATAAAAACATAATAAACAGTAAGAAGGATACTGAAGAGAAGAAACTGAGAAACTGAGGAAGATGAAATCAAATCCTTCAGATCTGACTCACAGCTCCTATGACTTGGTTTCCAGTTTCCTTTGCTCCTTTCTGGGCTGGATAGGAACAAAAAGAATATAAAACATGTTAGGGTTAGGGCTAGGTCGGGGCAATGGTGGGTTGCCCCCGGTTCGGACCGGTTTGCAAGAACTGATAGTAAAACTGGCGGGAGGCTCCGCCCACCAACCCCAACATTATCAGGGAGCTTCTGCATATGCACGGCCCTGTTGCAAACCAGTAGTAAAGGTAAGTACAACCCACCCCTGGGTTAGGGCAGCAGTCTTTTTCTTTTTAGAGCTACAGCTACTATTTGTTCTGAGGTGAGAGAATATTTCTGTTCTGTAGGGAGATTCCTAAAGGAATTAATCCTTGGTAAACATTTATAGTAGAGTAAGATTATTATGATTCATTGCACAATCAACCAGATGTTCAGACTAGGTTTGGCATTTTATCTACCTATCAAGTCCTTTCCGAGGACATGAGGTAGGCAGATCTGGATGTTTAATGATGTTACAGATATTGCCAGAGGATGTAAAGCTGCCTTTTGCAATTGACTGATGGTGAATTTGTCAATGTCAATGATGTTCAAGTGATGCTCCATTTGGTTTGGGATTGCACACAAGGCCCCTATTACTGTTGGGTACTACTATCTTTGCTTGCTTTTGCCAGAGTCGTTCTATTTCTATGTCTTTGCATTTTGTTATCTTCTCCAGTTCTTTCTCTTCTATTCTGCCGGGTACTGTCATATCCACTATCCAGACATTTTTGTATTTTTGATCAACAATTGTTAAGTCTTGGGTGTTATATGGCAGATGCCTGTCTATTTGAATTCTAAAGTCCCAGAGCAATTTAGCTTCCTAGTTTTCTATGACTTTCTCTATTTTCCGATTCCACCAGTTCTTGGCAAGTGATATTTCTTGCAGATTTTCCAGTGCATTGTTGTTGCTACTTTGTCATGCCATCATTTGTAGTCAGTTTGTGCAATCTTCTTGCAGTAACTTATCAGGTGTTCCACTATTTCTTCAGCTTCTTTGCATACACAGCACTTACTGTCTGTTGTTGTCTTCTCAATTCTGGGTTTGTATGCAATTGTTCTAAAGTCTGATCTTATGCAGCCAGTCTTAGTTCCTTGGTCCCGTTCTTCAACTTTCCTGCTTTTAGCCATTGCCAAGTTTTGTTATTATCTGTTTTCCCTGCTGTTTTTTGAATGTGCTGACCATGGAGTGCTTTGTCTTACCATGCCTCCATTGTATTCTTCATTTGGTCTTTCTTATAGGCCACTTCGTTCAGTAGTCAATAAGCCTTCCTGGTATACTAATTCTCCAACGCGCAGCTTGGAGAATCCAAAGCTTCGGGTAGTTCAGTAGTTGGGTAGCCTACACTGAGTGTGTTCCTTTAAGAGATTTCTCTTCAGACATGCCCACTTGCTCAACAGAGTCCCAGTTTAGTTCACTCAGTTGAGCCTGTGACACTGTCTGAATTTTTCTCCATATTTCTCTACTAAACTGTTCCTGAAGCTTTGGATTCTCTTCATAATTTTCTGCATTTTTGTTGGATTAATTTTCTCTCTTCGATTGGTTGGCCAGGGGTGAGTTTGCCTGCCACCTCAGGCAGGCTGTCTGGGACTTTTTACCTTCTCCGGGGCCCTGGCCACTTATCTGAATCCCCGTTCCACTTTATAGCTGCTGGCGTGTGGGTAGGTTTCCCGGCCTGCCGGTAACACCGCCCCCGTCCCTTGGACTTAATCTCGGACATTAGCGGCTTGAGATCGTTGCCCTGCTCCTAGCGGCACTTTCTCATTAAAATTTGATCTGGTGGCTGGCGCTGGGATCGCTTCTGAACGATCGCGCGCCTGGGAAGCACAGGGACAGCGCCGCAACTTCCCCTTGCCGATACTTCAATCAGCAGCCTCAATTTGAAACCGCAAGCGGCTTTTCACAGCTCCAGTCGTCCCACGCAGTGCTGGAAGTTCTTCTGAGGCTTCAGCTGCTTTTCTCAATCGTTGGCTTCCCTCCTCGTCCTCTCGCTTCTGGGCAGCGGCGCTAGGAGCCTTTGACATTTTCGCGCCCTTTTTCGCCCGCCTCAGCGCTCAGAGCCGCCATTTGTGACAGCTCACGCCAGATTGCCTGTCCCTCCGGCGAGCCTTCTTTAATCCTCCCTACAGCTGGGCACCTCGCCTCCACCATCAGGGGAGGCGATAAGCAAAGGAATCCCTGCCAGAAAAAAATCATCTATTCTTCTGCAGCCCTCCCCTGAAGCCTGGTGCAAGGAAGTCAATGGCTGTTTTTCTCTGCCCAGCAACTGCCTTGCGCATGCGCAGTTGGCTGCTGGAAGCCAAAAGCCTCCTGCTGGCAATTTCTTGTGCTTATGACATTGCCTCTGTGTTATAACTGTTAGAGTTCTTAGTTCTCCCATTGTTCTCTTTGGACTTACCTGCTGTGCTTCCTTTGGTTCTTCTACTGTAATCATCTGTTTATATCTTTAAAAAAAAAAAAAAGAAAAGAAAAGAAAAGAACCTGATTAATTCACATTCAGTTATAAATATTAATTAAAATAAATAAATAAATAAATAAAAAAATAAAAATAAAAATAAAAATAAAAATAATAATATTTACGTCCAACCTTACATCCAGTTGTCCTACATTGGCTCTCATCATGGCGGAACGTGAACTCTCTTCTGAACTGGAAGATCTTCAGAGTTCTCCAGAACGTCGCCCAGAGCAGAAAAGACAGCGTAAGACGTCTCGCAAACGTTCTTCGCACACATCATCTGAGGCCCCATCTTCTAAGAAGTCCAGGTCCACGTCCGCCGCAGTCAAGGACGCTTCCAGGAGGCACAGGGCTCTGGAACGACAATTTGAGAAGGCTCGCAAACAGTCAGATCAAGCTTCTTGCTCTAATTTACCAGTCTCCCTTTCTCCTGTGGCGGAAGTAAGCGATCAGTCCTTCCATCGAGACGATCCAATACCACTGCAGCCTTTGTTTCAACAACCTAGCATGGATTGTTCTTCTGGAGCAATTCCGGCCCATTGCACGGGTCCGGTGGATCTCTCCTGCAACACATTCCATTCTCGTAGGGCCCAGCCGGAGGCAACATTTACCCCCACGGCCGCTGGCTTGCGTGCCACGGGACCGGTCCAACCACCACCTTGCCCTTATGACATTCAGCAAATCATCTTCAAGACGGTATCCCGTACTCTGGCAGCAAACTCTCAACATCCAGGGCAATATGCTACCTGGACTCAACCACGATATCCTCCACCGATGCATCCATCTCGGTCCTCCCAGCAGGCCTCCTGCCAGTATTTCCCCATGACTCAGGGGAGTACTTCACACCCAGACCTTGGACGTGGTGAGGAGTCATCCTCGGAGGAGGACGAGGCAGACCTATTAGATATGGAATTATCCGATGATGCTGACATGCCACCAGAAAAGCCGGCCTTCTCGGGGCTCTTTAGGCCCTCATTATTTAAGTCCCTTCTGCACAAAGCTAAATTGACCACGAAAATGGCAGATCCGACCCCGCAGGTCAATCAACCGGGTCCTTCTCAACAACATGAGGCCCTGTTCACGGCGCCCAAGCCTGAGGCAGACTTCATTCCGTGCCCGCAACTCTTTTCTGAGGTTGTCCAACGTTTCTGGTCCACACCCTCCTCGTTACCTGCTCCATCGGGTCTGGACAAAAAACTTTACTGTTCAGCACCTAGTCTCCAGGATCTCCTTCAGTTGCCAACGGTAGACGCCCCCGTAGCCAATCTGACTGCTTCCTCGGTAATCTCCAACGACGTCGCCGACGGCCTGCACTCAGAGGATCGGAAAGCTGAGTTTACTTTTCGTCGCACACACAACGCAGCCACCTGGGCAGTGAGGGCTGCCACCTCGGCTTCCTTCTTCAGCCGCGCGTCGCTTATCTGGCTCCGCGAACTTCAGGAGCGACTCCCTCCTGACGATGCACGCCTCCGCCAAGATGTCAACAAACTCGTGGCGGCTACTGAATATACGGCAGACGCTTCGCTGAACGCCGCGAAGTTCGCTTCGCGCTCTCTGGTATCTTCAGTTACATCGCGCCGTTTATTATGGCTTAAAAATTGGAGGGCTGATGCAAAGTCCAGATGGCGCCTGGCCTCAACCCCGTACAAGGGTTCTCGCCTCTTTGGCGAC